AATGTTCATTCAGTTAAATTTCTAACTCTTGGCATTCAACTTTGTAACTCTATGTTGTTGGTGCTTCAGTGTCTGGTGTCCTAGTTAACACAGTGGACATTTAATTAAATCATGATGAAAAGGGAAAGGAAGGTAGAAAAACTAAAATAAAGGTAGGAAAGGGGAAAGGAAGGCAACCACAATCCTAAACAATTAGAAACTACTTAGAGAGGTCCCACGGTAAACAGTGCTGCTAATCTCACCTAACTGTCCCAGTGAGGAGAATGTGTTTATGGCTGGATTACTAGAGAGAGGATAAGCACTTTAGCAGGGAGTCTGGAGAGTGATGAGCCACGTCATCACGAGCAGGTAGATCCTGCAATAGATGGAAATGAAGCTCACTAATGCCTACTGAAAAGATGCTTGTTTTCTAGGCCCTGTAATATGGAATCTGCTCAGATGCTATGAGAGGCGCTCAGGTCTGGACCTGATAATCCATGCAGGAACCCTCTTGGAAAGGAATTATATTACTAACCCACTAAAATACAGGCTACAGAAGAGCACAGCCTTCTGCTTTGTTCACTATCACATCTCTGGCATCTAGAACATCTGCCATATGACTTGCCCTCAATACACCTTTGTGAAACGCATGCCACATGCATGAACTAGTAGAAACGAAATCCATTTGATACAATAAATACTTACTTTCCTAAATTCTGTTGCTTTTGCTATGTAAGTGCTTCTCACTTTCCACAGCCACAGATTATCAACAACGTCCAAACAAGTGAATATAATATTGTAAAAGCCAAGAGATGAGGAGAATCAAAGCAAACTCTGTGGGAAACCTTAATGAAACTTCTGCACAGACTAGAACAGGGTTGCCCACTGAGATGTTGTTCTGGTGCTGAGATCTGGCCTGTCCTTGAAGACTGAAAGGATCTCCGTTAACCTCTCTACAGACCTCTCAGAAGCTTATAATCCCACATTAGTCCTGCAAAGGCCTAAATGTTTCATGAAAAGCAGGTCAAATCTTTGAAGCATCAAACTTGAACCAATCACTCTCTAAAGCTTGGATGAACACATGCAACATGTACAATTTAGTTCTCCCTTGCTCCACCTGAATCTAGCACTGTGAGATTCCCAGCATCTTTGATGGTATACTCTGCCATAGTCTTTGTCCCATCTTCCAATATGTGGAGGGCTAAATGGCCTCCTGTCTCTGCTGCCAATGCTCCCAAGCACCAAGTGGAACTCCTACTTTCACGTAAACTATCACATTCCTGAAAGTTAAAAATGATTTTGAAAAGAAAATTTCACATACAGAAAAATGATGTAGCACGTTCCTTGGAGATCTAACAGAAATACTGATGGGCAGATTTCTTAAAGGGGTATGTTTTTCATTTCCACATACATTCCCTTTCAACTTCCTATCCCATTGCTTCCAAAGACTTGCTTAAGCCTGAGAGTTTTCTCAGGCTGTAAAACAGCCTACCTTTTGAAGTATGTTCACTATCTACTTCAATAAGCGAGATGGGCAGTATCAGGACCACAGCATCCTCAGTTATTGGGATAGGTCCAGGAAGTTATGTCAAACCATTCTCCATTTTTGCCTCCCCAAATGAAGTCCAGAAGTCACAGAATTTACAAATAATACCCATTCTAATAATGAAATGTTGCTGCTCGCATGGAAGCTTCTGGAAGTCTGCTGGTCAACAGGGTACAGCTACAATTTTCACTGGATAGGACCGAAACTGATAGCTCACTTTTGTGGAACTAAACATTTGTGAAAATGTGTTTAATTCACTTTTAGCACTTACAAAACTGCACTTAAAGAAGTGATTTTTTTTCAAGACAAAATGTGGAAACCACATTGTTTATTGTAACTTCTATACCACCTCAGCAATGCACAGAAGCCAGTTTTCATGCCAAAGTAGCTTCCAGTTGCCAAACTGGAAAAGATAGAGTACTTTTTGGAATGTGAAGATTGGTATGCATCATACTGTGGTAGTGAGAAGGCAAAACAGCTATAGGTCAAGGCTGGACAAACTTTATATCCTTCCCCCACCATCATTTCAGAGAAACAGCTTCCCTTTTGATACACTAAATTTCAAAATTAACATTTCAGCTGACTCTTGCCAATACCAAGCAGCAGCTTCCTTTGTTGTTTCCTTCTTTATTCAGAGTCTGCCCCTAGGCACCCTCGGAAGGTTGGACCTCTTCATCAGACCAGCCAGACATTTGCTCATTGCTGTAGCCTCTCATGAGAAAGACTCTGTCCTCCCAGGAAGCTGACCCTGCCACGCTTTCAGCTTGCAGGGATCCCATGAGGCACAGAGGAGGTGAGACCTGCAACAATGGATCAGTCCCCAGGGGACTATGACTTCCATTAGCCAAGAATTCCAAATGACTGACTGTGAGGCCAGGAGCCCAAAGGGCAAGGGAATAAACCTGCTTCCTCATTTCCCCTTCTCACCACTGCCTCACGCTGCTTCTTTCTCTGGATGTCAAACTTATCATTCTAACTTGACAGAGAATGATTCATGGGTGGTAAACTTGAGGATCTGGGTGCCAAGGGTGCATCTTTTAAAATGTGTTCCCTAATTGCCTATCCTGTGCTGTACATTTGGCAGATAATGTGTCTCTGCTCTCAGGGAGCACTTGACAGAGTAGGGGAAAGGGAAGGAAATCGGCAAGTGTGGTATGCAGAGGAGATGGAAGGAGAGGGACCCTAGAAAACGCACAAAGGGTCTCCTAACTCAAACCTAGGGGCAGTGACTGTGGTTCCATACGTCTTACTTGAGAAAGCAAGAGGAACACCCAAGTCCAGATGGGTAAGACTACAGGGAAGAATACTTGGTAGGCAACCGGTGAAAATACCCCCCAACTGAGAAGACAGAACAGTGTTAGACAAGTCAGTGATGTGAAAAATGTGACTAGATAGTTTTTTAGGGTCTTGTCCCACAACCTGAGAGCAGCGGGGATACTGTTGAGGCAAGGAAAGAGACAGGTTCAGGATTGTCAGAAGCTGGGGAAGTTACACAAAGGAGGACCAGTGCAACCTTGTTCTCAGCTTCCCAGCCTGCTGCTCTGCCCTGAAAGGTTCCAGGTTTTGTTCCTGCCTAAAAGTGGGTTATGTGATAATTAAGGGAAACAAGGAGGAAGGGTGAGCAGGTGAAAGGGTGGTTAAAGATGCTACCAGGATGATTAGTATTTTGCTTTTACCTACCATATAAGCACTGAAGCATATAACATTCTCAGTCCCAAATCCAAAAGCTCAGCTCACTCATCAATATTTCAGCATTTATTCTTGAAAATTCTCTCCTTTGGCTTTCATCTGTAATTTAAAAAATCCTCTTCCTTAATAATAACACAGCAAAAATGGGAGCTGTTGCATGCTCTACACACGAATGCCCTGTTATTAATCTCTCTATATAGGCAACAGAATCTTCTGGCAAGAGCATCCAATCTTCCCAAATCTCCTCTGGAGAGGCTGGAAAGGCTACGGCCAGGCAGATGTCAAACTGATCAGTATAAAGTAGCACTGATCCCTTCCCCCAGCATGCACCCAAACTCTGCAGAGCTGGGAGCAGAGTTTCCACTAACGAAAAAGAAGTCTTTGGATTTTCACTGTTATAATTTAGGAAGAGAGCGCGAGAGACTTAAGATACAGGGGAGCTAGAGAAAGAAAACAACAAAACAGAGGGGAAGGAGGAGGGGACTGACATAGGAGGTGAGATACAGAGAAGGAAGAAAGGAAAACTGAGACGGAAAAAAGTGGATGATGGAAAAGTTCAGGGAGAGGAAGAGAAGGGAGGAAAGCAGGGAGGGAACGGCACTAGAAGCCCCTGCTTTTCTTTAGATGCTGCATGGGGAAAAGTGGACAAACAGGCAGACAGGAGAAAATGGAGCTCCTTATGTATCTGGATGGCAAGGGCAAATGTGCAGAAAACCAGGGAAGAAGCTAGGGCACACTCTATCTCTCTTCCTCCACCCAGGGGTATGGGGCTGCTAGACTTGTCCTTCCCATCTCAGATTTCTCTAAAGCTTACAAAGCCAATGTCCCAGCCAGGCTCGTCCCTTACCTCCACCTAGGACAGTTGTCCTTCCCACAAGCTGGCTAGATATAGATGCTGAGGGGGAAGGATTTTGAGAGCTCAAACAGGTGCCAGGCTCCACAAAGATTACCTGAGGGAGGGAAACCCAGCAGGAGAGAGAATATACAGCTACCAGGCTGAAGGGGAAGAAGGGGGGGGCAGGCTGTGGGCTGCCATCCTCTGTGCCTCCATCCAGAGGGTACAGAGAAGCAGCCCCTGCAGTCAACCCCTCTACACCTCTGTTTGACCCGAAGCTGTCATCTTTAGATACTCTGGTGCTCCCCCATGACCCCTCTGGGGCATTTTACCCCTTAGAAAAAGCATTGAGACTTTACTCTAGTGCCCCATCTTGGCTCCAGGCTGAAAAGAAAGCTGTTGGGCACAGGGGTAACAAGGCTGCCTATGTGTGTGTATTCCTCCTGGATAGTTGGAGGCTGGACCTAACACCTCAGGCTCTCCCCAAGCGGCAGCTCAGCAGTCCAAGCTCCTCCCCAGTATTCAGACAAGCTGGGAACCCCACTCCAGCTGCTGGCGACTGTGCCTTTAAATTGCTGCTTTCGGAGGGTGCATCTAGGGGGATGTGGGAGGGAGGGAAACATCTTTCTAACCGGCTCCTTCCTCCCTCCCCTCCAAGACTCTCCAGGGTTTGCAGGGTGATTGCTACCCATAGAGAATCTTTTCTGGCTCCCTGACCGGCAGGCTGAGGCCCTCCTCAGTCCAAGACAAGTCTAAGCCGGAGCTGGAGCTGGTAGGGTTTTTCATGTCAGGTTGAGTTCCAGGGGAATAGTTCTAGACCCTGACTGCTAAGGACAGGGCAGAAAAGAGGCAGGAGAGGAAAGAGGGCTCAACTCCTAGCCCAGCCACACAGGCTCCTTATTCTAGCCCAAGTTGGAGAAGGGCTCTATACTGTTGCCTTTCCCACAGGAATACCTGCTCTCACCTTGGCAGCCAGGCTAAGGAAGGACTCCAAGGTCCCTGCAGAATGGCAACTCTTGTTCCTGCAACCCTCTTCCTTCTTCTCTGGACCCTGCCAGGGAAGGTCCTCCTCAGGTGAGCTCAGTGGGGGTGAGAAGGAGGTGCATGCAAACACTAACTGGGGGCTGGTGCTAACAGACGGGGTAGCTGGCACACTTTCTTCTAAGTTTGAAAAAAAAGTCGGGAGGGCATCAGGGAAGGACACACCCTCCTTAGTCAGGACCCAGGAGCTGTCCAGTACAGATGCAGGGCCCCAGTGTGGGTTGAGCTTCTGTATGAATGAATGAATTGCACGAGCCTGGATAGGGGCTAGGTAGCTGAGTCCTAAAATGGAGGTCGCTTGTCCTGTAACTGAACCCTATCTCCATACCAACTGGATCCCTAAAATGACAGGAACATATGTCAGATGCCTGCCAATGAGGCTGCAGGTGGCACAGGTTTGCGACAGGATCCCTGCAGGATGGAGCTGGGCTACCTGAATCTTAGCTTTCTGCGCTCTCCCTGCCTTGTATACATGGCTGCTCACTGTCCTTTTAGAGGAACCAGGTAGCAGTCATTCCCTGGGTTTGCAAGCGAGGAATTCTTGGAGCTCCTTGTAAACGTCCCCTGACCATTTGCCCCTTCCCATTATCAAAAGAGCTAGTTGAGGCTGACAGGGTACACTGGGTAGAAATGATGGCTATGGTTGGGCTGCACTGCTCTTCAAAGGAACAGCTCACAAAGAGGAAAGAGTGAGCGTCAGAGCAGCGTCTTCCTCCTCTTAACCCAAGGGGTGGCCCAGAGCATTTCGCTTTCTGCCCCATTGCTTGTGTTCACAGTCAATGGCAGGCAGGAAGGGGTGTAAAGTGGGCCAGTAGGTGTGGCAGTGAAAGCAGCTCAGAGTGGAATGGCAGCTCAGAAGAGCTGAAAGGATACAAACATGACAGACATAAAGGGGTCAGGGAGTTGACCCTAGTCGAGGGGAGATTGCCTCAAGATCCACGAACAAGCTATAGAAGTAGCATGTGTACTCAGAAACTGGAGGTCATTAGAGGAAGAAGGGCTCTAAAGAGTCCTAAGCTCAGGCCATTTACTGTACGGATGGAAGCTGAAGCCTAGAGAAGGGCAGTGACCTGCTCAAGGTTGCTCAGCTACCCAGGAGCTGAGTCAAAGTTCTGTCCTCACACCAACCAAGGGTCTTGTATGAGTTCTTGACCTGTCTAGCTCCTGCCAGTGTTTGCGAACTTTCAGGAGTGAAAAAGTGAATAGAGTGGTTTCAGAAAGTAACTCTTAGTCTTGTTTCCTTAGACAAGGGAATCTCAGGAGATGGGGAACCAAAACAGGTTTGGGACTAAAGAAGATTCATAGCCTATCCTAGAGTTCTAGGACAGGGACTAGTGGAGGTGACCTGCGTGAGGCTGAGGACAGTAGAGGGGTCTGGCTGCTCTATAGGTAGGGCCATATGGCCTCCCAGCAGGCAGGTGGCAGATGGCCGACAGAAGCAACAACAGCAGCAGCAGCAGAATGCACCTGGCTAGTGTGGACATCCTGTGGTGAAGGCGCGGACTTCTGCCTGCCCCAGCATTACTACCAACATCCTTGGATTTCCCCAGCCTGCTTAAGCCACCTGCTCTGGCTACTCCTGCTGGGGGCCAGTGTAGCCTCTGTCTCCAGGGCAAGGGATTCTGCCTGCTTTGGGGATTCAAGGCAGAACTCTAGAAAGTCACGGTGGGACAGGTCTTGACTGTTCCTTACTCTGGTTCTTTGATAGATCCTCCTGGGCTACCTGCCTTGTAATAGTTCTATGACAGACACACTGAGGCTTGAGGTTACTGGCTCTGGCTCTCAATTTTGGCTTTACAATTCACTAGCTGTAGGCTCCTGGAGAAGTCACTTCACCTTCCCCTTATTGGTCCCCTATCTCCTAATCTATGTACAGTTAGACTTTCATATCCATCAGTTCCAAATCTTCAGATTCAAGCATCACAGATACAAAATACTTAATAGCACCTATGCTGGTCTGATTTGGATGTTCAGACACCTGGATTCTCTGAACAACTACATGTATAACATTCACAGTGCATCAGGTATAAGAACCCAGAAATGATTTACTAGCATACAGGAAGATATTCACAGGTTATATTCAAAGACCATACCATTTTAACATCTGAAAATTTGATTATCTACAAAGGGGTTCTAGAACCAATGTCCCTGAGATATAGAGAGCCAATTGTAATAGCTAATCAGGGAGGACTGGTATGAATTAACCAAGATAAGGCTTATGAGGCATTTAATGTGGTGCCTTGGATCCTTTAATGAGTCTATCAGTCACTGACTAGAACACAGACTTATTGGGGAAAGGGAGCCACTGGCTTAAATGAGACTAGGACACAGAAAGGCAGCTGTCATCCTGCTGCTCAGTCCCACAGTGCAGCACCCGTGGCAGCTGTGGGGATGGCAGTAAGATGCATCAATAAAGTACCTGCTCTAGCCAGGAGTCTGGCCTGAGTTCAGTCATGACGTCTACCCCTGCTCGGCTTTTGCTGAGCCGCTGGTGCCTAGTCTATATGTTGGCTAGTACACAAGTAAACAGTTATGTGGAAGGGTTTTTCTGCTCCTAGAAGAAAACTTGTGTTTATGTGTGTATAAGTGCTTGCACATGTGTGGGCACAAATATGTGTGAGTGTACACTGACATGCATGTGTGCATACATGTGTAGAGGTCTGATGCTGATGCCAAATGTTTTCTTCGATCATTCTTTACCTTATATATTGAGGCAGGCTCATTTGCTGAACCCGTATCTAGCCAGTTTCAGCGTCTCTGCCTATCCAGCTTGCCATGGGAGAGCTAGACTCCCCAGGGAAAGGATTCCAAGTGTGCTGCCATGCCCACCAGATCTTCCCTGGGTGTTGGGGGTCTCCGTGCTGTTCCCTGTGCCTGTGCAACAGTATTGTATCCAGCGATCCAGTTCCTCGGCTCTCTTAGGAGGAAAACTGACCAAAGAAAGAGGCTAAATTCTACACCAGGCCAAAACATAGTGACATTTTCCCCCAAAGCAAGCTGTGAGGTAGAGAAAGACGGGAGTTTACCTCAGTATGATCACTGTTTGGAAACTCTCCCATGGCCATAGGTTACTGTTTATCGTATTCACCTGCCTGTAGTAGCCACGACCCCATACTTTAGCACAGCTTCTTGCTATGCAAAAAAAGAAGAAAATAAATGGCACAAACCAAGCCTTCCCCAACCCCCAACAGAAGCTGGGTTCTAAGTCCTGCAAATCTCACAGCAAGCCTAAGCAACTGATGCCAGCTCTCAGGGAAGCTGTTTGTCCTAAAGCCCCTCCAAACCTCGGCTAGGCTACATTGGCAACACAGATGCTATTCTTCTCTGACAGCTTTCAAGGCTCCTTCAGGAAGAGATTACTAAGTAGGTTCTTAAAGAAGTCCAGTGTTTGAGTCCTAACTATGTCACTCAAGTTCTGAGACTTTGGGCAAGCCTGTTTTCTCACCTGTAAAATGGAAATAACAGCCCTAATATCATTTCCCAGGACTATTGCTGGGCAGCCACGTTAACTCATAACTGTCTGTCTACTCATTTAATACACCACAGACCCATTCTCTTCTGTTCCTGACTGATGGGCAGATTCATCAAAGGGTGATGTCTTGAGATGGGAAAGCAAATTCTGTGATAAATGCAGGAAACCACTATCCTCAAACTTCGTTTCTTCTCCTGTTCCCCAGTGTGGCCTTGGCAAAAGAGGATGTCAAATCTGGGCCCAAAGGGTCCCAGCTCATGTCCCCTTCTGATTTCTTGGATAAGCTGATGGGGCGAACATCTGGATATGATGCCAGGATTAGGCCCAATTTCAAAGGTAAGAAACATCCATCTACTAAATCCCCTCCACGCTTACTATTTTGGGTGGCACACTGCTTAGCCAGTACTTGATCAGCCTTAAGGAAGAAGACTGGAAGTCTGAGGCTAGATCTCATAGCTCAGAAAGAGCCTCTGCTTCCTATTGCCTCTGGATCCATGTAGCTGTCAGTCTTTTCCCAGTAGTGAGCTCACCTGCAGCTCAGAGTGGGAGTTTTGGAACTTGGGCCCAGCTTTCTGGAATGCCCTGATAATGGGCTGTGCTTTGCTACCCTTAGGCCCACCTGTGAATGTGACCTGCAACATCTTCATCAACAGTTTTGGCTCCGTCACTGAGACCACCATGGTAAGGGGTCTTCCCATTCCCCACTTCCATTCCAGTGTGAATGGGAGCTCACCAGATAGCAGGCATTTCCTTTCTATTGCCCTCTTCCTGCTTTGTGATCACAGCTTAAGCCACAGGAGATTGGAATTGATGACTGAGAGATTACTCTTAGTCCAGGGTTGCCCCTAACTAAATGCAAAATCATCGAAGAGCAGTTCATCAAATATGTGAAGTAACCCAATGCAGAGTGTAGGTTTTTGAATTAGAAAAACCTGAGTTCAAATTGTAATTCTGCCAGCGAAATGTTAAGCAAGTTGACTTCATTCTTTCCTGGTCTTTGTTATCCATATGCAAAGTGCAGATCATGAAACCATTCTCTATGCAAGAAAGATGAGAGGCTTAAATAAGACGATGCTTATGAGGAAAGCACTTAGAGTCGAGGAAGTGGCTCGGTGATACAGTATTTGCCTAGCATGTTCACAAATCTGGGTTCAACCTCCAGTCCTACCACAAAAGCACTTAGCCGAGAGTCTGGTGTATAATAGACATTTAAATGAATGTATTTCTCTTCCCATCTTTGCCATACTTGGCCAAAGTGGGCTTTTTCCACTGGAAAGTATCTACTGGCCCCAAGATGCATCTCCAGCATTTCCTCCTCATGGCCCTTCTGCTCATGTTGGTTTTACTGGACCCCTGGGAAAACCACCGTCTCTGATAAGTCCTCCTTGCCACCCTTCCAGGACTACCGGGTAAATGTCTTCTTACGGCAACAGTGGAATGACCCACGATTGGCCTACCGAGAATATCCTGATGACTCTCTGGACCTAGACCCCTCCATGCTCGACTCTATCTGGAAGCCAGACCTCTTCTTTGCCAATGAGAAGGGGGCCAACTTCCATGAGGTGACCACAGACAACAAGTTACTCCGCATCTTCAAGAATGGGAATGTGCTCTACAGCATCAGGTGCTCCTAGCATATAGCAAGGGGATTTTGTAGTAAGAAGCGGCAGCCAGATGGAGATAGAAGAGCAGGAAGATGGTTCGTGCTATACAAATGTGCCAGTCCAGTGAACTGATATACTTTTTACTGTTCCCACCAGATTGACCCTCATTTTGTCCTGCCCAATGGATCTCAAGAACTTCCCAATGGACATCCAGACCTGCACGATGCAGTTAGAAAGCTGTAAGTGTCTCTAGTGAGCAGCAAGGCCAGGCCTAGATTAACAGCTAGTCAATATCCTCCAATGATATTTCAGACCGGAGAGGGACTGACCCAAGCACATGCCACCAATTCTTGTCATGGATGAGACTAGAAGCCAAGGGTCCTTGCCACCTAGCCCAGTGTGGTTTCTGTGTTCCCACATTACTTTCTGGGCTGACTATTCCATAGAGCTGGGGAACATAATGATGCCCAGCCTTCTGAAGAAACATGCTTGAACTGGCCATGGGCACTCTCTGAAGGGTGCTTCCTCTGTTCCTATTTCCTCCTTCAGTCCCTGACGTAGCTTTACCTTTACCCTCTCAGGATTAAGACACTGACAATGCCCATTTATGCCAGCTTGGGGCAAGATGGAGATACACTAGGAGCTCTGATTCTCCATGAAATACAGAGAGTGATTATGAAGAATGAGAGGGTAGCTTCAGGCACACAGATAGGACAGTGTCTAGAGCGGCAAAGTCAGCCACGGTCCTCTATGCAAAGGTGTCAACCTATATGGGCTGGCAAATGTTCAGGAAAGTCAAAGGATGGCAAGGATGGGTCATCATGTACTTTCACTATTCATCTGTCACCTGGGAGAGATAAAACTGAGATCAGGAGAGATCCCTCAGAGAAGAAAACTTGTTGCACTGTTTCTAGCACATGGGGACAGTGATGGAAAGAAAGTACCCCCATGGTCCACCCTCTAGAATTTATACGCCATCTTTCCAGGCAGGTTCCCATCATCCCTCATAATTTTAAAACCTGGAGGAGCAGCCTTCACTAGCCTCATTTGACAGAAGAGTAGATGCTGTGGGAATTCGGTCTGAGATGACCCATCTGAAGCCACAGAGCTACAGCGGACCTCTCTAGATACTGTAAACCTCAGTCGGCCCTTACATGTGAGAGCACAGTCATGTCTGTGACAGGAGCCTTCATGAACTGCCAGTAATCTGGGAGCAATTTGGCATGCTCAGCTATTAAGTCTCAATTTTTTCCAATTCAAGTCCCTGGCTAGGAGTCTGTGACCACATTCTTCCATGCATGACTGGAGGGACAGAAATAGCTCTCTCTTCCCTGAGGGGAAGTGGCAGAAGCCCTGGCTCTGAGGCTCAGCTCAGGACATGTGGTTGGTACACATGCTTACTCCTCTGGGTTTAAGAAGTGCCAGGAGGTTCCCAGCTGGGGTCCTTGACATCTTTCCAAACTTCTTGGCCTGCATCCTAAGTCTAACAGAGTAATTTCTCTCTAGGCATTTACCAAGCTTGAGACGTACATAGTAGGGTAATCTAGGATCTTTCTGACTTGTTCATTTAGTTCAAGCCCGTGAGACAATTGAGGAAATGCCCTCTTCAGAAACATTCCCTTTCCCAAGATTTAGAGTGTCATTTCTAAACCCCAAACCTTGTTTCCCAACGATGCACCCTTGGTAACTTTAGCTCCACCTCTGTCCTCACCTAAAACATGCACTCTGAAGTTCTTTGATACTTTTGTCACTTGCAGTTGGCTACACGATGAATGACCTTGTATTTGAGTGGCTAGAAGATGCTCCTGCTGTCCAAGTGGCTGAGGGGTTGACTCTTCCCCAATTTATCTTGCGGGATGAGAAGGATCTAGGTTATTGTACCAAGCACTACAACACAGGTAAGACTCAGGCAGGTCTTTATCATTTATAAGGCACTAGAGGGTCTCAAAATGAGAGACAAAAGGGGACAAGGCAACCAGGTCCCACTAGAGGCTCAATAGAATAGAAGAGATACGATGCTACACACTTCTTATACCTGATTTCACCGTGGCAGAGGCTGTCAGCATCACTTTCATAAAGAGAATACAGAAAGGCTAGAGAGATGGCTCAGCAGGTCAACTGACAACCTGAGTTTCATCCCCAAAACCCACATTGTGGAAAGAGAGAACTGACTCCCACAAGCTGTCCTCTGACCACACACACACTGAGACATGCTCATACTCACACATATGCATGTAGAAAAAAATGAATAACTGTAAAATAAATTTTAAAAAGAAAGTTATGAAGGGGGGTAGAGTTTGAATCAGTTGTTACACAATTACAAGATGTCAAATTTAAAATTCAAATCCAGATCCATGCTCGTATCTCTCGCATATGCTGCAGAGTGAAGAGGCTGTGACAATGAGCAAAGGGTCTCATTTTCCTGTGAAAGCTGGGAAGTCTACATTTAGGAGGTGTCAACAGCTGTGCACATATAGAGGAAACAGGCCAGAGGGAGCAGGCGGCTGACCAGGCCCACTTTCTGCAGTCACATCCACTGCCTGACTCTCCTGAACTAACTTCTTTTCCTGAATGTGGAGGAAGCAGAGAGTAACTGGTTTTGTTTTTTTCTGACTGGACAGCTTAATCCTTTGGCTTTCTTAAGAGTTGCTGGCTCCTCATAACTTTTAGCAACTTAGCTGTGTGGGAGGAACAGTTCCTTGAATTTAGAAACTACAACTAGAAATTGGTAGAAACTTGGGTGGGAGAATGGCAGTTTGTATGTAGGGGAATTGTTTTCAAGCTTTTGTACTCAATATATTCGCCTGGGAGTCTTTCAAAAACACTGATTCTTATGCGATCACATATACTGGAGGAAATGTCTAGAAATTTTCATGTTAACAAGTATCATGAGGCCTGTAATACAGGTAGTGAGGGAAACATTATATTTTGAGAAATGTTAGTTTAGAAGCTAATTTTCCCCTACTTATTTAATACAAGAATTCTACCCTTAGAATGTATTTTAGGAACATTACAAAATATCTCACTGGCTTTAGTCACTAAGGTTTCTCTGCCACTATTAGTGCTAACAAAAACGTGGAATTGCTCTAAATATCCACCCATGGGGTAGAAGTAAATTCAACAGTGTGTCTACTTGGTAAAGTAGTATGCTGTCATGAACATACTTTCACAGTTCTTAGATCTTCATGGGAAAGCACAAACTACAAAAGGGATATGATATAATGTTGCATAAAAACATGGCTATACTGTGATTAAAAAAAGCAAAAATATGCGTGCAAAAACCCTGAAAGGAAATACTACTACTAAATATTTCTAAAGCAATATGATACAATGTATAAAGCAAAAACATTTAAGTAATATAAACCTGAGTTTAGATTCTAGCTTCTTTAAATACCGTTGGGTACCCTTGAGAAATTTAGTTTAATCTCTTTATGTTTTAGTAGCCTTATCTGTAATATGAGAGATAACCATTTTACCCACCCCCAAAAAATGCTACAGGATTTAACGTATTAAAATCCAGTCACTTAGTAGTGATTTGATAAATATGAGCTTAAGAATGTTATTCTTTCTCTTACTCTTCTATATTAAACAAATGTTAATCTTAAAATTAAAACCCACACTATTACTACAATAAAGAATGAAGGAAAGCACAGGAAGAGAATATGAATATATAATAAAGGCATGTCACAGGAAGAAGCCCACGGTGGGCTCAGGAATGAGTAGGAGGTCATAGAATCATACAGCATGCCAAAGTCCAAAGCAGTAACAGTTTAAATCACTGGTCTTGAGTAATCAGATAAAGTTAAGCCTTAGTCAGAATAACATCAAAGCACAGAGTTGGTTCTCCATGTTCACATGTTCTATGTCTAAGGGTCCATCCAATCTCAGAACACGAGCATTAATAATAAATTTCATGTGCTGAACACATATAGACTTTTCCTTATCATTAGTACCTAAAAATTCAGTGTAACAATTATTGACATTGAACTTACATTGTGTTATAACGTAAGTAATCTAGAGCTGAAAAGATGGCTCAGAGGATAAATGAGCTGAGTTCAGTTCCCACCAGTTCCACATGGTGGAAGGAGAGAACTGACTAATAAAAGTTGTCCTCTAACTTCAACACATATGATGCACACACATACACACACAGGTAAATGTTTGAAATGAATAATACAGATCTAATTTAAAGTATATAAAGTGTATATATATAATCACATTTGTATTTAAATATATATGGGATTTGGGTATCTACAGATTTTAGTATCTGGGGGGGTCTTGAAAGCCATCTCCCAGTGAATATTTGGAGATGGCTGTACAAATCTGCTTTTCCTCTTGTGTTATCCCAAGTCTCTAGTTTTGAGAAAAGCTGTTAATGAATGTTTTCTTAGCTTTGGAGTCGTGGGAAGCAGGATAAATTAAAGAGGGCTGGCATGTGAAAAGGAAGAACACTGAGATATGTGCCCAGAACCAATGTATTTTTTATGGTGGAACAGAATAGTGCTTCCTTATCCTCTATGGGAACCTGCTTTCCAGTATCCAGAGCTGATCTCTGTTGCAAATCCTTTCCCACTGTATACTAGCTTGCTCTTCTCACTTGCTTAAGACACAGGGAGTGTGTATTCCAGCTGTTACTAGAGATTCAGGGATATGAGCAAGTACAAGGAAGGATGGTGAGATATAAATGAAGCCCAAACTAGTTCTTTCATAACGATGATTTAATGGTAGAAACAGCTTCTGTGCTCAGCACCTCAACTACAATATTTCATTTAACTTTTCTAACAGCCCAATGATGGAGTTGCTATTGCTAATTACTCTGCTTTACAGGCAAAGAAACTAGTTCAAAAAGCTTGGGTGGAACTTGGCATGGTGGTACAGCAGAGAATTCCAAATTTGATGTTACCCTGGGCTACATAAAAAGACCTTGTCTCAAAAACAAAAGGCGTAACAATCAAAAGGCTTGAGTGAATTATTCAAGATCACATAGCTATTAAGCGAAAACCTGAGATTCAACCCCAGAGAGTCTGAGTCTGGAGCCCTCTTATTCTTTATCCTCTTTCTGTAATTGTTACTTGAAAGATCTTATGCTCTATGCTAAAATTCCAGGAGCAAGAAGGCAATCTTTATGGCTGATTTGAGAGCCTTCATAGTATAGTATCTGACATTACCTGGGGCCATTTTGAAAGTATCATTTATTGGCCAGCTGTGGATCCCAGAAGTTGGTTCAGCAGAGCTGCCCTATTCCTGACCCATACTCCCTCAGGCTAAGTAAGCTGCAGTCTGGGGACTCAGAGCCTAATACTTCATTTCTTTGCTTACAGGAAAATTCACCTGCATAGAAGTGAAGTTTCACCTGGAGCGGCAGATGGGCTACTACCTGATTCAGATGTACATTCCCAGCCTACTCATTGTCATCTTGTCCTGGGTCTCCTTCTGGATCAACATGGATGCTGCCCCTGCCCGTGTAGGCCTTGGCATCACCACTGTCCTCACCATGACAACCCAGAGCTCTGGATCGAGGGCCTCTTTGCCCAAGGTGAAGAAATATGCAAGAGAGCCTACTTGACATCAAACCGCTATTTCCCATGCATCGCACACTCCGCACTGAGCTACTCCCTTTCTACCCCGGATTTAAGGTTGTAACTAGGGATAAGCAATAGCTGGCATCAAACATTTCCTCTTATCCATAACATACTATTAATAACAGCATAACAATGTGAATATTGCTGGCTTGGGAACGAGCAGAGTCAGTGCCTTACTTAATTTTCTTTGGGAAATATTAGCATGCTCCATATCAAAAGACCCTTCTCACATAGAAAGTTCCATTCTCACAGAGTACAGGTGAGAATGAAGGTCAGAGAGGTTAGACTACTTCCTCAAGGTCAATTCTGTCCAGAAACAACCAAAGAAATAGCCGCGTTTTGAACCAAATTCTGTCCTCGTTCTTTAACAAGTAAGGTACTATTACAAAGTGTTCTAAATATAGTGTTTATTTTGGGGGTAGGAGAATATTTTGAGGTTGCAAATATAATAGCAATTAAAGACAGTAGACTCTGATCATCTGGGGCCTGTTAATGTTTTGACTATGCAGAAAAATTTGTGCTGATAGGACTAAGAACAGTTCTCCCTGCAATGTGTATTCATGTAGGGAAGTTAAAGGTCACCTCAAAGTCCTTATGGTCAGCAAGGCTCGGAGCAAATCAGTAAGTGAAGTCATTTGTTTCTGTCAATAAATAGTTGTTGAGCACATACTACAGACCAGGTACTGTACTTGGTCATGGAAGAATAATAACTCTTGCCTTAAATATATTCCCTCTTATTCCGATTTGTTGGGAATCTGGCTCTGAGAAATGCTATCTATCATACGACTTTTTTATTGGAGACTTAAGCAACATGTAATACGGATATTGATGGCATGTTTATGAAATTGCTATAGGGCATTTAAATGTAGATGAACAGAGTCAGGCAGATACATTTAGGTTTAAATCCCAGCCTCATTATTTACTAATAGTATGACCTTGGGTAAAGTGTCTCTCAATTGCCTTGCCTATAATAAGAAAGTAAGAATTCTACCCCCTCCATGGGGTTATTATGAAAAATAAAGTATGTATTAGCATACAAAGACAGTATTTTACACATAATAATTGCTTAATAAATGCTAACTGCTTTATTAATTATCAGGTGTCAGTGTTAAAAAAGAATGAGGATTGGATCTAGGAATAAAGCAGATGGTATTTCTCCTACTGATGTTTCATTTGCTAGGAAACCTTTGATCTACTCCAAAGTCCCCTAGAGAGGTAAACAGGGATCAAGTTCAGATTAGGACCAAGCGCCTGAGAAGAAGTTGTCAGGAATCCTTTCCTGTATGTGTTTCCTAAATGGACTGAGGTATTAATGGGGCTCTTAGAGGCAGCCTATCTGTATTTTAATAAATAAAGCTTGCCTGAAGATCAGAGAGTAAAACAGCCAGCCACTGGCTCTTACTCAGTCTGAAATGGGGATCCTGCCTCCAGGAATCGCAGAATAAGACAGTGTCTGTGAGCTATCTCCTCCAGTCTTATATTCCTCTCTAGGGTTGGAATTAAAGGCATGCACTACCCAGTTTCTATGGCAAACTAGTGTGGCTACTGGGATTAAAGGTGTGTGTTAGCACTGCCTGGTCTGTAAGGCTGAGCAGTGGGACTGTTTTACTCTCTGATCTTCAGGCAAGTTTTATTTATTAAAACACAAACGAAAAAACACTACATCCATCTCTAGAGGAGAGCCATTGGGCCAGCCTGGGCTATGATACTTATTATAATAGCCTTATATGGGGATCACTGCATTAAGAGCCCTGCCCCAATTTTTTATCTCTGTCAAGTAAGAAGATTCTTTATAACCCAGGAAGATACCACAATTTATGCCTTCTTTTGAAAAGAATTTCATTTCTGGTTTCCCCTTGCAAATGAGCACTATCCATCTGCTCCAAGGTGTCAAAAGCTTCCTCATGCAGAGAAATGAACTTTGCTAAGGGGTTATTTGTTTGCAACTATGACTACTACTTGTCATATTTTTGTGACTTCTGAATAGCCTCATTAGCCAGTAGGCAAAATATTCAGGTGTGGACTCTAAAATGACTAGTCTTGCTAACTAGATCCATGGATCCTAAAGTGACTAGCCTTGCTAACCAGATCCACGGACCCTAAAATGACTAGTCTTGCTAAGCAGATCCATGGACCGTAAAATGACTAGTCTTGCTAAACAGACCCATGGAGTCAAAGCATCAGCAAGTCACGGAGCTCTTACTCACCCTGAGTCTGTGCAACATTAGATTTCCTTGAGGATACAAGAAAGGAGATGGGGTCAAGCCAGAGGCATCTGATAGCAACAACACTCTCACCCAAAACATAACTGTACTATCTAGGATGAGAGCAAAAGAGATTTCTTGGAAAGGAAACTCAGCTGGGGTGGTCTTTCTCCATAGTCTCCAGAAACCATCCCTTCATTGCTTTGTGGAACACCCTAAAGGCACCGATTTCCATCTCTTTGCCAGGTTCTTGATATACATAGCTGCAAGAGGAAAAGTTAAATGAAAGATATGATATAAAATTGTACTAGGGAGGGAGGATAAAATTCTCTATATCTTGCCTTTAGCTCATGAGACAAAGAAAGGAAAGAGACAGCAAGTAGGAGCCAGCAAAGACAATCACATCACTACATCTTCTATCCACTCATTCAAAAACTACTTACTGTGTTCCAAGCACTCAGGTATTGGGGTAGAACACTGAACACCATGAAAATAGTTCCTGACATGGAAAAGCTCAGGCTAGTGGAAGAATTGCTTAGGTATGTGATGGATGCTAAAGAGGTCTAGGTAAGCCAGTCCATCTAGAAGGAAAATACACACTAGGATGACCAGGAAAGGCCTCTCAAAAATAGGGCATCTTATGTGTAAGCTAAAGAATAAGATATCCAAATCAGAGTGGAGAGGAGACTGGCTTCTTTAAAAACACTGAAATACTTCACTGTTGCAGGATCATAGATTATAAGGGGCACACTGAGGCTGAAGAGGTAGGCAGAGATCAAAGGCAGTAAGTGTAGCAATCTAGATCACAAGGGTTACAGAGAACCTCCAAAGGGTCTTGGGGGGTTGTGATATGATCACAGGAATTGTTTTTAAATGTATTAATGACAAAATTATTATTAATAAGCCACAAACACATAAGGCGTACCTTTTATTAACAGGCCAAAGCCCTTCATGAGTGTCCCTTGTAACGGCCTCATTACTGATCTTCATATTAAAGTCTTTAAAAACCCTGAGACCCCAGTGGGCCTGGGCGGACAGACAGTTAAATGAGATGCCTTCTTCATAGGTGGCAGAGCAAAGACAGCACCAAGGAATTCTTAATCAGAGTTAGTCAGTAACCCAATACTACTCACTCTTTCTGTGGAACTGTCCAGAAATGAAAGCAGGGTTTACCAACTTTAACACCTCCATTGGAGCAGATAGTTCTGGTGTGTGTATGCTATAGAGGGAGGAATGGTATACACTTAAAATGCTTAACAGTATCCTTGTCTTCTACCCATGATGCACCAGTAGCTAGCACCACTCTAAAATCATGTTGACAAAATTTTTGGTAAACACTGCTAAACGCTCTTGTGGGTGGAGCAGTTTTTTCCAGTTAAGAACCACTAAGATGGGGCTGGAGAGATGGCTCAGAGGTTAAGGAGCATTGCCTGCTCTTCCAAAGGTCCTGAGTTCAATTCCCAACAACCACATGGTGGCTCACAACCATCTGTAATGGGGTCTGGTGCCCTCTTCTGGCCTGCAGGCATACACACAGACAGAATATTGCACACATATAAATAAATAAATATAAAAAAAAGAACCACTAAGATGGGAGGTTAGGAATATAGTTTACTGGATATAGTATACATATAGTATATAAAGAATGAAGTCATGGGTTCAATCTCCACTATCAGAGAAAACTAACAAGTGGAGAATCTACCCAATGGAACCTTTTCCTTCCCCAGGATCTGCAGCAACCTCAGTGCCATATAATGCAAAAGCTGATAGAAAGAAGTTACTCTTCAGGAATCCTGCTCCTGACAGGAAGCTATATGGAGAGAGCTCAAAACTACACAGGGAATCCCCCTGGTTAAGAAAGTGAAAGGAACTTAATATACTAAAGTTCTGTCCCTCCTCTTAGACTCACCTAGCCGTAACATGTTCCTGGAGAGGTTGGTGATCAAACACTCTTAAAAGCTGCTGAGGGCAGGTACTAGATGAGCGCAGCTGGAACCAGATGGGTGGATGCCAACAGTGTCTTGCAGTTACTGAAGGTCATGACAAAGGCTAGGTGGCACTCCCTCAGAATTCTGCCATTCTTTCCAAGGTGAGAGATGGAGGTTTAGCTTACCTTTGCATTCCACTTCTCAGCAGGGAGGCCTGAAAAGGCAGCAGTAAACTTCACAGGGTGAACAGAGAATGGGAATGGAGGAGCTCCTAGTCTGCCAGTGAACCTGTACCTAGGTAACTCTCAAGCTCATTGATTTGAAGGCTCTGAAATTCCCAGTCCTAATGCCGCCTTTCTAACTAAGTGATCTCTGCTAAGACCATTTCTCTCTGAGTATTAAATGTTCACATACCTCACATGGGAATTGTGAACTCTCCTTAATTATCACTGTGGCTATGAGAAACTCAGGGGACACCAGAGAGCCAACAAATATGAATTTTGATTATTGCTATTTACTACAAGGGAAGAATCAGAAGAATAAATACAGGAAGAGTAGGGAGGAAAGGCTCATAGACATGAAGGGTGAAGGCTGCTGAGAAAGGATTAGCCCAGGCTCACTGACATGGTCTTTAGATATGTATACATATCATGACAGACTTATTTAAATCACACAAGTTTCAGGATAAAACTGAACAATAACAGGCAATTGATATGGACTGGAAATCCACTGAATAGTCCATGGAAGGACTCCAGAAGGATAACTGCTCTATTGATGTATATTGCAGGTATCCTATGTGAAGGCAATTGACATCTGGATGGCTGTATGCCTACTCTTTGTATTCGCTGCCCTGCTTGAGTATGCTGCTGTCAATTTTGTCTCTCGTCAGCACAAGGAATTTATGAGACTTCGTAGAAGGCAGAGACGGCAACGCATGGTGAGTACCAACAGGGAGGGTTCTACTTCCTTTCTCCTTTGAACTCCTTCTTCCTTATTACCCCTCCCACAAACCAAGTCCCAATCTAGAGATCTAGTACTGGGCAATCAGGAATCCCAGATTCTAGTCCCAGGCTGGTGACAGTAAAATTAAATACTTGTTTGTTTTATCTATCCAATGGTACAATAACCCCTATAAGGTAGTAGAGGGATTAAGAGTATGGCATATAGTAAGCACTTAAAACATGTTAGCCAAGGTTATGCATAATGGTGCACGCCTTTAATCCCAGGACTCGGGAGGCAGAGGCTAGAGGATCTCTGTGAGTTTGGGATCAACCTGATCTACAGAGAGAGTTCCAGGGCAGCCAGGACTACATACAAATCCTGTCTCAAAAAATAAATAAATAAACAAAAGCATATTTGCCAGTCTTAGATCCTTATTGACTTAGCACAAATGTTATTGCTTTCAGACGTAATTGTAGGGTAAAAAGGGCCAGATAAAAAACACACCTGGACCCTGAAACCAGAGCCAGTGAAAGAAACACAACCTGGCCCCGAATCCAGAGCCAAAGGGTTAAAAAGAGTCAGTGAAAAAAAAAACACACTTTGGTCCTGAAACGGGAGCCAAAGAAACACACTCTGTCCCTGACCAACTCAGCACAAAAAACAACGAATCCCTGAACATGAATCTAGCCAACAAAAAACAACCAATCCCTGAACATGAATCCAGTCAATCTCTGAGATTGTCCAAACTTAGAGATTGAAATCTTACCAATTCCCACCCTGAAAATTTTCACCTTGGGAAAACTTCACCCCTATGAAGCCCTATATAAGCCCTGTGCCTATTCAGTTTGTTGTTGCTCTTTTTCCACCCTGGCAGAGGCAGCCACCCTCCTGGATTCTTCCCTCCCTATAAAGCTCTTGAATGAGGTTTGGGTGAGACCTTCTTTCACCAGAATGGAGTGGCTGGAGCAGAGCAGAGTTGAGCAGAACTGTGACAACTTTGCTGGGGAAACCTTCTCTTGCCAGAGCAGAGTTGTTACATTGGGAAAACCTTCCCCTGGGGCAGGACTATAAGCTGGTACACTTAAGGTGACTCTGTGGTACTCCTGGGCTCCCAAATGCCAGGATCCCTTTCCATCTGAGCTGCAATATTTAAAGTAATAATAGTTGTTCCTGGTTTTCCTCACATCAAGAAGGAAGGTACTCTTAAGCTGTCCTACTGGCAAGAACTCAGAGTCAGACACTAGTACCTTTGAAGAGGAGTACTGAAAGATGGTCCCCATATTTGAATTGTAATTGAAAGATCACTACTTGCCTCTTCTGACTGGTGGGATGTGTGCTGATCTTCAACAGGTACTTCGGAGTTGTTAGGCTTGAGTGGTGTCCTTCCTCAGTCCTGTTTGTTAGCCCTATTCCTTCCATAGCAGAGTGATCACCAAGGGGGGAGAGACAGAAGAGGAAGTTGTCATGACAACAGAAGCAGTTTTCCCTCAATTGCCCAGACAATAGGCACTAGGTAAGTTGTCATGACAACAGAGATGTCTGAGCTACCCAGAGAAAAGCAAGCTCCAATTACAGCAAAATCAAAAGCTTTGCTCCTGGTTGCTTAATCTTTAGAAGCACAATGTCTCAAGCTTTGACTCCTTGTTTTCTGCCTAATCCAGAGGCTTCGAAACCAAAATGCCAAGCACATGATTACTTTTGGAGGACAAAAAAAAAACCCAAATTAACCAAACCTACTGTTAAAAATCTTGACTCTAGGTGGCAGCAGATGTAGTTCAGGGGCAAAGTGCTTGCCTAGCATATACATAAATCTTGAATTTGATCCATAGTGTCACACAGACACACACACAAATTCTGACTCTAGCCTATCTGAGATATACTAATACTTTGTCCTTCCTAACACCCAACTCCCACCTCGGTTGCTCCTAGAGCACCCCGCCCATATGACTTCTAATGATCATGCAAACTGCATGATTTCACATTTCTTTCTGGGGAAAACGGCTCCTATCTCATGTATATTTTTCGGAATACCAATTCTTTGCTCTTTAGTTTATTCACGGTTCCTAAATAGTGAGCCCTCTAGTGGATGGATCTACAACTGCATCTCTTTGAATATATTCTTACAGAGACTGGCCCATAAGACTTCTTGCCTCATTAATTCAGGTAGACTGGTTTAGTGGGTGTCCCCATCATCGTCTTGACCTCTTTGCTCATATTCTCACTTCTGCCACTCTTCAACTGGACCTTGGGAGCTCAATCCAGTGTTCTGCTGTGGGTCTCTGCCTCTGTTTCCATCAGTTGCTGTGAAGGTTCTATGGTGATATTTAAGATAATCATCAGTCTGACCACAGGACAAGGCCAGTTTGGGCACACTCTCCTCTATTGCTTAGGGTCTTAGCTGGGGTCATCCTCGTGGATCTATGGGAATTTCTCTAGAGCCAGGTTTCTTGCTAACCCCATAATGGTTCCCTCCTCAACTCCCCACTTCTCCCCTCCTTTTCCCCTTCTCCTCTCCCTTCTCTCCCCAGCATTATGTTCCCAATTTTGTCAGGTGATCTTGTCTATTTTGACTTTCCAGATAGATCTATATATGTTTTTCTTAGGGTTCACCTTGTTACTTAGATTCTCTAGGATCATGAACTATAGGCTCGCTATCCTTTATTTATAGTTATCATTCACTTATGGGTGAGTATACACCATCTTTATCTTTTTGGGTCTGGGTTACCTCAGTCAGGATGGTGTTTTCTAGTTCCATCCATTTGCATGCAAAATTCAAGATGTCATTGTTTTTTACTACTGAGTTACTCTTATAACACCAGCCGGACTGGGAAGGAACAAGCATAGGACCAAACTAGTCCCTCTGAATGTGGTTGACAGTTGCATGGCTGGGGCAGACTGAGGGGCCACTGGAATTGCAACCAGATTTGCCTCTGCTGCTTGTGCTGGCTTTTGGGGAGCCTGTTCTCTTTGGATCGACACCTTGCTCACCCTAGATACAGTGGGGAGGGCCTTGGACCTTCTCCAGGGTCATGGTGTGTCTTGTCCTCTCTGGGGAGTGGATGGAAGGTGGGTGGGTTGGGGTGGAGGGAATGCGAATCGGGGAGGGAGTGGAAATTTGGATTGGGTATTATGATGAAAAAAGTTATTTTTTAAAAAAGATTTCTTGCCTCATAGTGGGGACAGGAAAGCATGTACAGAGTTAGAAAGGAAAAGAAAACAGGATTATCCCTTTTCTAAAATAATATCTTTATTATTTTAGACTCTCTTGACCTTTTCTTTAGTTGTGTGAAACTTATCTGCAGGTACCAAAATCATTCATAGGAGTTTTTGATGTATTTTAACACTGCCTTCCTAGGAATGAACAGCAGGTCATCAAATAGTCTAGAGTCTCTTTTCTACCTAAAATGCCTGTGTTGACATCCCAGTAACAAAGATTGCTACAGTTACTACAGAGCTACTCAGCTTGACCTCAGTCCCACCTCCTATCCCGTACCCATTCAACCAGCTACTGCCCACATTTTGTCTGCTCATGTTTATATGCAGGTTAGCATGTGCTTATAACAGAGTGTGCTACCGTACAGTTATTACGAAGTTACTTAGTAGTTGCTTGATGTCTAAATAGGACACTGTGGCTTGCCTAAAACTGGGCTGTGGCTTATTATTAATGTGATAAAGCCTGAAAATCAAATCTGTGTCGTCCATCAATAATATCCCTTTCATGAGTTTCCTAAAGCTAATGTGACCCCAGTGGGGCTATCCAGGAATTTTGGAGGCCCTAAACTGGCTCAAGAAGTTGACAGAGAGCTCATATTTGTCTAGACCTTCTTTTGGGGCCTTGATATTCCAGTAAAAGAACTAGAAACCTTCAGCCTGAGAAAACCCAATGGAAGAGGAGAGAAATATTATAATTGTCAGGAGCCCAGAGTCAAGGTCACGATAGGGTTCTTCAGGAGCCAGTCAACTGTCCGTCTAGCTCTAGGGCTAGTCATTGTCTTTCTAACCTCTCCTTAACCACTTGTCTCCCCTACAGAGTGATCTTCTCCCACAGCACTGCCGAAAATAGTGGGTGTTTTGCACGTGCTTCTGCTTTGTCTTCCCAGATGGTCTAAATGATTCAGAGGAAAGGCTGGATCCTCACCATCCCTGCAGGGTTAGCCCCTGGCTCTGAACACAGCAGCCAAAGGCAAAGACTGTCAAACTGCACAAACAAAATTTCTTGCTATTATTAATACAATAACTTGAGAACTAGAAAAATTACAAAATAGCAGCAAATCCTCTCGGGGACTTACTTTCAGAAGCTTGCTCACCTCTCCATCTGCTACTGAGTACTCCACCCCATCTCCAATTTCATATCTTCCTGCTTGTCTCCCTTGACATTTATCACTTCTTCCTATCTTCATACCCCTTCTCCACTGGGCATTTATTTCCCAGGCTGGCTAGGGTATAGCTTCCTTCTCTAGCCTCTCAGCACTCTGCTCCTAGACATGCAGAAAAAATTCAATTCTATTTCAATAACCATGGAAATCGCAAAGTAATATTGAATGGCACATTGACACTCCCCAACACATATATACTTACCACTCAGAATCTGTCGTAAATATCTAACATCCAAACCCGGGCCCCTTTATCCTTGGATTTTAGGCTATTCATCTTTCCTGGGCCAGCCATAAAAGATACAGAGTAAAATTAAAAAGAGCCAAGAGCAGCTTACTTTACTGGATATATTTTCCCTTCTGTATGAAATTACGTTTTTATGTCTGGGAAATGTTTCCAAATAATTTCCCTCAGATTTACTGGCTAAAAGGAGAAAAATAGGATTTATAAAAACAGAACTAGCAGTTCGATCTAACTTTCTCCTTTAGAAGTTTTTTCTCAATACCTATATTTTGTAGTTGGATCTTCTAGTTGGAGGGTTTGGTGAAGAATGGAGTACAAGGTCCTGAATTAGATACTAGGAAGATTTTTTTTAACTTCACTTAGCGCTCTCACTTTTCAATTCCTTCTGAGATACTCTGTTTGCATCTGGTTCTTTATCTGAATAACGGACCTAGCAAACCTCTCCTGTAGAGTGTGAAAATTAATTGCAGAATGCATGTGAGATGAATCAAGATCTTTGATAAAAGAGGCTAAAATGGTAAGTGAGCAACAGTAACAACTGTAACAGTACCAAGTTAAAGAGCAGGATAGTGAACTCACTCTGACATACATACATACAAACATATACACACACATATAACTCTCCATGAAGACCCTGGTAAATCAAGAATAGGACAACAAAACTCTCTGATGCACAGACTTTAATTTTTTCCTGTGTTCAAAGTGCTACTCCCTTTGGAGAAGCCAAAGGCTATGGAGCTATTGTATAGTAGGGCAAATAGTAATTTCCTGTCAAGTATTTCATAACTGAGTGAGAATCCTTTCTGAGTAGACTCTTTAGTTTGGGACCCTGACAAGATATGGGCATCACAAAACAAAAGGCCACCCCATTCCTTATGTCCTGAAGCATGTGGTTCATTAGCCCAGTTGTCCATTCAACAGATATCTACTGAGTGTCTATTAGGTTCTAAGCACGGTACCTGTCACTGGGAATACAGCAGTGAACAAGTCTATTTATGAGTTAAGAGATGGCAGAGGAAGGAATAGGGTTTGTTTGTGAATTTCTGGCCTGAGTTTGTGTACCACTGATGCCCAGTAGCAGAATTGCCCTCCTAACAGTTCACTTTTGGGTGATGTAATAGTTAGGAGTTACTATGACCAGTCATACCAATATCTCTTCTACAGAACAACTTTTCAGTTGGGTTCTGTAGCTGCAGAGTCCTTGTTATAAAGATTCCTCAATGTCCCTTGAATTGTGCAAAATGTTTAGCACACATATATACACACATGTGGTAAGCCCACACAATATACCTGTATCTTGTTCTTATAATTTATAGAACTACATTAGGTAACTAGGGTGACTTACTCTTCCCGTTTTACCTTAAACTTCTCCAGTGTTAGCGATGAGAGACTACTAGTCTCTGCGGCCTCCTCAGTTCTGGGCAAACTTGAATTAGTAGGTGAAAACATCCTAAGAAAGGAGATTTCATTTCAGGCAATCTCTTAGCTGAAGCTTTTCCTGCAGAGAATTCAATACTTTTCATTTATATAATCATCTTCTATCTGAAGGACATATTTCTCATATGGGTATTTCTTTCCTCTTCTCCCCCACGCCCCATCTATTTCTTTTATCTCTTTCTGTCCCTACTTTCTGCTTCCCAGCTGTGGCACAGCTACTCAATGTTCTAAGTCAGTGGTTGTATTAATAGACTTTCTGCTGTTTACAACATTCTGCTTACTACTTGTATAAAATACACCTCCTCTCTGTTAATGTGTCTATCAAAAGACGTGCATTGTACAGAAATGTAATGCATATTGGGTAGTAAGTGTTATTGGAGATTTACTGATTCCCTTTTCAGATCAGCTAATTTGTAAAGAATCATACAGCTCTTTGGAAGAGTGATCAACTATAACCTACTTTGTCTAGCTCATTCGGTCACTTAGAACTTTTAGAATTCTTACCTTTAAGTCAAAATCACTTTTAAAAATATTATATAAAGCTTGCCACAAGGCAGGGCACCCTGACTTCTCTTAGGACTGGAGAGCGAGGGGGAGGGGGAGTGGGGAGAGTGGAAGGGAAATGGGAGGATGGGAGGAGGTGGAAATTTTAAATAAATTAATTTAAAAAACCAAAAAAATACTATGTACAAAACAGTCTAATTCTAAAACTTTTTAAATTCATTGAAGTCAATTTCATCAAGTCAAAATATCTCAGCTTCACTGTGGCTGTTGTTCTGGTTCCCTGTCAGAAACAATCTGACATTGAGATGCTGACACTTTGGTGGTTTTAGATGACTTCAAATGATGTTAAACATTTTCAAAAGGCAACTAGGTACACGTCTCTAAATAAAATCATATCACTTAGGTACAACATATAGCTGCTTAGCATATAATTTTGTGGTCAACAAAAAGCATGTAGTGGGCCAGTGTAGTGAGCCATTTGTCTGTATGACATGAGACAGGAGGCGTTTATGGGTGGTCTGGCTTTTACTCTGGCTTCAAATACCGTAACCTTTTATCCCTTGCAATTATAGGAAGAAGACATCATACGAGAAAGCCGCTTCTATTTTCGTGGCTATGGCCTTGGACACTGCCTACAAGCAAGGGATGGAGGTCCAATGGAAGGTTCCAGCATTTACAGTCCCCAACCTCCAGCCCCTCTTCAAAAGGAGGGAGAAAACATGAGGAAACTCTATGTGGACCGAGCCAAGAGAATCGACACCATCTCTAGGGCTGTCTTTCCCTTTACTTTTCTTGTCTTCAATATCTTCTATTGGGTTGTCTATAAAGTTCTAAGGTCAGAAGACATCCACCAGGCACTGTGAATAGGGTGGGGGTTATAGTATACAGCTGCTGGCTTCCTGCTTTCACCCGGGTGGGCTTTTCCCTTCCATCAAACTCTATTGGGAGCTTCAACAGTTTCTTCTTGACTTCCCCCTCATAACTTCAATCACCAGTTCCCAAGTTATATTAGAACTGCCTAGTGCCAACGATGGCTATACTACAAACACGGCTTATCTACTCAACCCAGATTTCCTGCTTACTCTGCATTTCTCATTGCTTGTCCATGTGCCTGATGCCAGAGTGACTTTCTGTCATTGCTGGGGACCCTCTGTGAAGAATATTTAGACTACTGGACTCTGGGTTGGGCCATCTTCATCTTTCCTACTCCCATCCAGAGCCTGCCCTTTATTTGTACTTCTATCCGTCCCATTGCAAGCTCAAATATGGAGTCCTTTTAGTCCACAAGTACTGCTCTGAATGACCTAGTCAGAGGCCCTTACTGAGAGAGAGACAAAGACATGCGTTCCCACCACTTAACAAAGATGTGGTAGTTAACCAGCTGCTCTGGGCTAGGGGACTGGTCCAACAGAGAGGTCCACTTCTAGAAAAGCTACCATTTTTAGAACTGGGGTAAGAACCTAGGACTCTAAGAAAGTTTACTCTTCCAGATCTAACTAAACTTCCTCGTCCCAGAAATATTTGCTCTAGTCCTTAATTAGGGTAGCCACAGGCTTTGTTATGCTGTTGGGTAGGAAAAAGGTGTGGGGAGACTTATTCTTTAAGAAATGTATTTGATGATCTAGGAAAGGGGAGATGAAAGGTACTAAAACCTAGGAAGGCTGGAGTTCAGAAGCAATCTTTAGAGAGACACTTACGTGTCTGTTTCTTCTTTTTCTCTGAAGTCTCTTAATTTCTAGGAATTTCTAACTTCACCTCCTCTTGGCAAGAGAATAATGGTGCCATGCAACCTTGTTCTGGATCGCGTAGGCTTCAATGTTCCTGAGGAGAAACCAGGCATGCAGAGGGTGTCCCTATCTAGGCATCTAGAGAACTCAACCTCCCTCGGGTTGTAGGTGTACAACTTAGAGAGCCATAGTTTGGGTTGTTTCTTTACCCTTTTTGTGCTTCCCTTTCTCCTTCATAGGATTCAGATAAGGCTACAAGAAAGGTCAGACTAGAGTGGGTTGGTGTGTCAGTCTGTCATAGGGATGCATTGGCCTAGTACAATGTATTTGTTGAAGTGATCTGTGAATGAGATGACAAAAATGAGATGAGAAAAATACAAATATGAGGATAGCAGTTGGAACACACAAACAAATAACCTCTTAAAATACTATGTCCTTTTCTCTGGGTCCAGAATAATAATTAACTACGTAATATGAGTTCTCTTCCCTCCCTTCCAACTCCCCTCCTCCTTTCTCCCCATCTCCCTCTCTTCTATCTCAGCTCTTCCTTGTTTCTCCATTCCACATACATTCCTAATTCAAGTCAATTAAGTCCAATGGTCAATGTAAATTCTATAGTATACAGACAAGACCAGCCTTCTTTCTCCATTTTCATATTGAATTTATCTTATTCATTGAGATACCCTTTCATCTCCCTTGATTTGGGAGACAGTACTTTGGAATGACCAAGGTAGCTGGCCTATACTTCCTTCTTTCTTTTTCCTTTCATTTCTCTCTCTTTCTCTTTCTTTTTTTCTTCCCCTCTCTCTTTCTTTTTCTGAGACAAGGTCTTTCTGTATATCTTAAGATATCTTGGAACTTATTTGCAGCCCAGGCTAGCCTTGAACTCATAATTCTCATGTCTCAGCCTTCCTGGTGTTAGGATTAACAGTGTGTATTACCATATTCAGATCTAGAAATTGCTTTTACCAGACACGTTAGCACTCACATACTAAGAATCAAAATTTAAGAACTCATTTATAGGAGGAGATTAAATTGAAAAGGGAAAAGAGAGCCCCTGTGTCCCTATTTCTGCCCAGGTAGTGCCAATCAATGAGAGGCCACAAGCAATACCCCTTTGAAAGGAGCAGAGAGTATCTCTTTGATACTGTCCCTGAAGGGGCTGGGGTGTCAGGCTGCTGCAGCCCGGAGGCAGGGACGGTGGGGGGTGGACTATGGAGATGAGCTTACTGCACAGAGCTCTACTTGTTACAGATCTTGTCCAGATGGGCCAACTACACAAATCTGCCCTGTTGGAAGTCTCAAGAACAATGCCCTGGAGACAGCTACAGTACTGAGCAATAAAGGCTGTCCAACTGGGACTCAGATCAGGGCATCAGCTGGTGCTGGGTGCCGAAGAAGCCAAAGTACCAACCAACATAATAGACCAAAGGAATTCACAAAGCCACTCAGAGTCAATGCCAGGTGGAAGGTATTATCCTTCTCACTGGAGGCCCTAGGCAGAGGAAGTATTTGCATAATGCCAACATCGGATCCAGTACAAATGCATTTCAATTTCTTTATTCTTCCCACATATGTACAGGTCTCACTGAGGGGATTTGACATTTAGCAATCTGTTCAATCACAAAATTGCTAAATTTTGGGTCCTTCTTACCAATGAACTGAGAAAAGGTGACATAAGAGTCTCACTTGGAGGTCATGCCCACTTATCAGCTTTCTTGCAGTACTCACCACCACCCCGAGACCAATACTAATTTATGCCTGAATCACATCTGATGGAATTCTGAGATTTAAATAGCATTTTTAAATGGAGGCGGGAGCTTCCTTTGTAGATAAAATGTTTGGGATATTTTCATTAATTCTTTGTTAATATTTAATGTTGGATAAATATTTCATAAATATATTTTAAGAGGAAAAGCTTTATTTATTCAGTTGTTAAGGCTATCGGTACCTCCACCTTTCTTCCAACTTGTTCTGCCTTGTAGAATTGCCAGTGGTTTAGCGTCTTCTTTCCTTTTAATCTACTAGTAGGTCCTTTTGCTCTCTCCAAATTCACAGACCAAGCAAAAAGGAGTTTTCTAAGTGGAAGAAATGTACTGAATAAAATATATCCCCCCTTTGTCTTTACCATAAGTATTTCCCCACCTATCGACAAAGAACAGGCATCCTTCTGTTTAAAGTGTTAGACTGATTCAAATTTACTTTTTCTTTGTGCTGAGTTACGAAATGCCTCCCTCAACTTTATCTAGAATATATTACTTTTTTCGAATTTTTTTATGCGACCTCCCACCACTCGATGGTCTGTATCAGTGTTGGTATTATTAGTCTTATCTCATTATTCTGGCTACCAAAATCTCAAAAACTGGACTTCACTACTTTGGAATTAATTTTGTTAGGCTGTACTGTTAAGGAACACTTACCAATCTAGTTCAGGAGCCACCCAGGGATTAGAAAGCAAGGTTCCACTCATCAGTTCAATGGTTGAGGGCAAGAGATGTATTTTATATAACTTGGTAGCCCGCATAGCTCTTGGTACCTAGTAATACACAATATATGCAATTAGAATAAAAGCCTACCTTTCCACTTGCTATATCATATATGTTTCTGTTCATTCCCTTTTCATTAATTTATCGAGCACAGAAAAAGAGATCTGGAAGAAATCCTACAAAATCCGAACTCATATAGATATGTAGACAATGCAATCTCCACATATAACAGAAACAAAATGACGAAGACACTAAAACCTTAGAGGTTCATCACTGGAAAAAAAAAGAACTATAATGTTCTTATTAAACATTAGTACTATACATATATTAAGACTTGGATCAAGTTATAATTAAAATCCCAATCACTAGATAAACACTGTGGCACGTGAGTAGAGTAGTGGGAATTTAGGCAGTGCAACCATCTGCTTCCGCCTGTTCTACATGTTGTTTCTGTTTAGGAGACAGTCATCTCGGAAGGGAAAGCAATTAAGATGTTCCTCCCAGCCTCACATTCTGCTCTCCCACAGTCTCCAGCTCGAATAATGTTTATAGTCTACAAATGCAGACTGCTGGCTTATTAGTCAGACCAGCTTGTTAGCAGGCCTTAAGCTGAGGGAGAAACGGCCTCTGGGCCAATCCTCCCTCACAAACGATCTTCCCCACAGAAAGCAAAGAAAGTCTGCTGACATGAAGCCACCTGAAGAAGCCACATGGGAACTCAGCTATCACTACTACTGATTAGCTCTTTTCTGTCCCCTGTTGTCACTGTAAAGTTCTGTACAAATGCCCTGCTGTGCTATGCTTTGTGGTGTGTTACTTAAAAAATGGTCTCACTATTCATTTCCTAGAATAAGGGGAAATTCTTGCCATCACCTGAATCCAGGGACCATCCTTGTCTTATAGAATGGATCTGGAAAAATACAAGCAAAGTCTCTATTTTACTAGCTCACTTTCATGATATTTTGATGTCTAAGACAATGTGGTGCTTTAGTACCAGACAGAGCCTGGATTTGAACGACAATTCCCTCAGCCTTGAGATGCTTGAAGAACTCCACGACACAGTAACTACATAACCTTGACCAAATGACTGAACTATTCTGCACTTCGGTCCTCACATCTGTTGGTGGAAGATAACAGTAACTACCTCGGAGTGTCACTGTGGGAATTCAACAATGCAGGTATTTAACTCAGAATGTAGCACACGGTAAATTGCTCAATAAAAATTAGCTATTGCCTAAAAGTCTCTCTTCTACATCTGTCAAGTTTCTGATACTTGGACCTGTTTAGGACTTCACATTTCCAAATTAAGTGTGGGCTTCTCTCTAAACCCGTACCCACAAAAAACAGGCTAAAGTCACTTCTCTCTCTCTCTCTCTCTCTCTCTCTCTCTCTCTCTCTCTTTAAATCACTTCTCTTATATTATCAGTCTTTTCGGTGGCACTAGACACTAAGATACAGCATGCTTTTAAAAACTGTCCACGGGAAATTGCTGAATATCTCTGAGCTTTAGTCAGTTTCAGGCAGGTACAACCTGCAGCTAATAGTCCGCATGTCACAAAACAGGTATGAATTTCTACAAGACATTTGTAGACCACAACACCATGCTGCCAATGTCAAACAACAAAGAAATGGGGGGATGAGAATGAATTTCTCTCAAAATGAAGAATAGGAACTACTATCCGCCAGGCAGCGGTGGCGTA